GGCAACGCGCTCTTGAGGATATTTCAGTTGAAAACTCTGTTTCTGTGGTAGGACACGAGCTGAGACGGGTGGAGGTTTTTCACAAGTTGAGTGAAGACATCATCTGCTCCTGACTTTACTCCTCCTTAGTATGCTTTGGCATATATAAACAAACATATATGGTTTCGAATAAAACGACAGACTGTCTGGTGTGGTAACATTTATGTACTTAAATTCCCATGAGATCTTTCAGGATCAACTTTTATAATGACTAAAGTGATTATCCGCGGGTTTCTATTTCTCAATAGTTTGATACTAAACATTTTTGGAAAAAACGACCAATTCACACACCAGCAATCGACCAATATGAAATTCATACATGAACTATATAGTTTTGCTAATTCATAAATTCACATAATTTGATCAAAATGTACATTGACCAGTAAACTGCTGTTGAGTACCAACCATTGTCAAGTCAGTTGCCATGTTATCAATTTTATTTCAGAGTGTGTTCAAAACAAGTTTTTTCAAAGTTTCAAAAAGCTTTTTATTTCTTCTTTATCAAAGATTATGTCTGAAAAACAAATTTATATATTTTTCTTAATTGATCATGGTCCGGTTAGTGGACTAAAGTGGTGCTTAAGAGACTATACGGTCCTCCTCACAGTATGAGAGGATGTAGACGAAGTATTTCGTCACTTTATGCTGAGTTCTATTTTGGGCGATGGAGTGCTTAAGCAAAAGGGGACTTTGCTCAGTGTGAATTGAGACGAATTGTGCAAACTTGATTTTTATGACCACGCATCCACTAGATTAGTCATCTTTTGGCGCATAATGGATTGATTCACTATGTTTAAACAAAAATTTGCAACCTTTAGTTTAGTTCATATCTCACGGAGTGGTATTGTCCGAGCTGACTCTCTTAGAAAAGGAGCTCGAGTATAAGGTTATGTATTCTTCCATTTAAGTCAGACATTTCTGTTTGAGGTTGTCCGTAAAAACAAATCATCTAACTGATAGCACTTGATTTAATATAGGATGATTGTTGAAAAAAAAAAAAACAGACATCTTCTCAACTAATACATAAAAAAAAAAATTCTCAATTTTGTTTATACGAACTTAAATCAGTGACAATCTCAACATTTCACTGGTTAATTTCAGATTTTCCCTTAAGGCCCTGTTTG